TTCAGGAGGGTCTCCAGATGCTGGTGAGATCCTCACCCCAGTCATTTTCCAGGTTCCTGACACCTTTTCCAGAAAGTCAGAATGAAGGGAAATGCAAAAAGCTTTTATTGCAAAGTGACAGTACGCAGTGAAGATAGAAGTGCAGGCATGTTGGTGAGAATGAGCGCACACAAATGGGTTTCTAATTTTGTGGCTGTTTCTTTAATTAGGGGGTGGAATAATCCTTACTCATTCTGGAAGAGGGGGGATTTCAGGCCCCCCCCCGCCTCCCAACCCCAGGTACCACCCCCTTTCTCCTTGATTTCAGTTTGCCCCAAAGAGTCGTGGACATGTCACCCTGACTCTGTTGCCCAGGCTGGAGTGCAGTGTCATGATCTTGGCTCACTGCAACCCCTGTCCCCTGGCCTCAAGCGATTCTTCAGAGTACCTAGGATTACAGGCACGCGCCACCATGCTCAGCTAACTTTTTTGTATTTTTGGTAGAGACAGGGTTTCACCATATTGTGCAAACTGGTCTCGAACTCCTGACCTCAGGTGATCTGTTCTCCTCAGCCTCCCACAGTGGTGGGATTACAGGCGTGAGCCACTGCACCCAGCCTTCTCCTCATTTTTGGTTTTGTGTTATCCTGCAGTTTCTTTGCCTAGCTCTTGTTTGGATTCTTCCATCCTCCTGTAAGCACCCAGTGCTTTTCCTACCTCAGTCCCCCTTCAGAGATTTCCACCCCTTACTTTTAAGAGTTGATGAGGAAGGAAGTCAGTCGTCTGTGTCTTCTTCTTGCTGATTTAAGGGTGCTGGCCATGCCTACCAAAAAATTGGAAATCTCCGGCTGCCTGGTCTTAGGGTCCCCAGCATCAGCAGGAGAGTCCCATGCTGAGACAGGAATTGGCCGGAATCCTCGCATCGCCATCATCTTTACATGGAACTGCTATAACCTAGAAGATACAAACTTTATAAGGAAGTCGAATATGCATGGGCCAAATATTAACAATAATAAGATCACCATTAACAGGCCTAAAAGTAGTAAAACCAGGTAATAGAAAGTAGAGCAGCCTTAACAGCATTCCCTATGGAAGCAACTGAAAGGTTTTCCTTTCCAAAGGTGTGAAGCCGTTTTGCTTGGTCAGTTGTGCCTGAATTCCAAAGTGGGGGAAGGTATCGTGAGGCCTGACTGACCCCCAGCTTCCTGTCACTGCCTGAACTAGGTTTTCAGGCAGTTGTGGTTGCTGTTGTTTGGATTCCCTTTGGCCAAGAGGGAGAGCCATTCTGCTGGGGGCTTATACTTTTTTTTTTTTTTCAGTTTATATTTTCTCTGTTTTTGTCAATGTATCCCAGGAGGGCGATGTCGATGGCCAAGCTTTTACTTTGGCCCTTGGTGCCGGCATGGCGTGCCACTGGACCTGGATCTCTCATGTCCCCTAGTGGGGCCGCTATGGGACTTAGAGTCAAAAAACCTTATTGCCAATTAAACATTCTAGACCAGATGGGAATGAAGGTGGGCAGGCACTCATCAACCTTAAAACCCCTTTCGAGCAATATAAGAGCCAAAAGCCAAAAGGCGAGGTTATAAAATGGACTTATCGATAAATTCTATGCACTGAGCTACTGTCATTTGGGCGTGCAGAAATTTGCTATACAAAACACAGCCTGTTGTTGAGCTGTTGAGGTGTCTGTGTGCCCATTCTTGATCTGGGGGTGTCTGAGTTAATTTTAGCCCTCAGAACTGACCCTTACAATCTCATGTGATAGCCCAGGGACTGGAAGGGTTGAATAGTTTCAAATTCCGGAGATAAAACAAGATGTAAAGAATTGACAACATTTTAAACAAAAAGGTCACAAGCCCTGTCTAGTTTTGAAAATGACAGGAAAGCAAGTTCACAGGCAGCTAGATATTTAAATTATTTAGTACGAAGGCATAAATTATTAATTCAGATACAGGGAAAATTATTAAAGGAATTTTAATGGTTTGAATACAGACCTGTCACTGTGTCTCATGAAAGTAGTTTACTTTGATTGTCACCTCTGCCCAGGTATAAAGATGAGGCTTTGGTTGGCTTGAGTTTGGCATCAGATACTGGCAGAAGTCAGTGCCCGATTCAGATGAGATCAGTGAATCCGGGTGGCAAAGACCTGTAACTTAACAGCACAAGGATTAATAGAAATTTACTTTTTCTTTTTTTTTTTGAGGCAGAGTCTTGCTCTATTGCCAGGCTGGAGTACAGTGGCACGATCTCTGCTCACTGCAACCTCTGCCTCCTGAGTTCAAGCGATTCTCCTGCCTCAGCCTCCCAAGTAGCTGGGACTACAGGTGCACACCACCACATCCAGCTAATTTTTGTATTTTTAGTAGAGACGGGTTTCACCATGTTGGCCAGAACGGTCTTCATCTTTTGATCTTGTAATCCACCCGCCTCAGCCTCCCAAAGTGCTGGGATTATAGGCATGAGCCCCATGCTCAGCCAAGAACCTTTTCAAGGGGCTAGAAGTGGTGATACCGGAGTTCATGGTCTGATTGAAAGCTGTAAAAAGATTCTATGGCCTTGACCTTATAGTGATTAATTTTTATATCTTTAATAATCCCCAGCAATAAGACTAAATCTGAGACATAATTTAAAATTTTGATTTTGAGGATATTTTTTAAAGATGTTAAAAGGCTCAAAACATTGGATCAAAACAATCATTTCTAACTCATCCTAAACTTCCTTCCTTCCTAAACAATCATTTTACTTTAGAAGAAGAATTTACTATACAAGATCCTTTTTTATATAAATTTTTTCCTTTATAACCTTCCTTACCAAAAACACATCTTTATATCCATAAGTTCTTTACATCTGTCTCCCCTATTTACTGGTTCCTTTCTACTTGTTTCATAACCATTTTCAAGTACATAATTTGAACTGACTTTGAAAAGAACCAAAATCAGCAGGGGGCGGTGGCTCATGCCTGTAATCCCAGCACTTTGGGAGGCTGAGGCGGGTGGATCACTTGAGCTCAGGAATTTGAGACCAACCTGGCCAACATGGTGAAACCCAGTCTCTACCAAAAATACAAAAATTAGCCAGGCATGGTGGCGGGTGCCTGTAATCCCAGCTACTCAGGAGGCTGAGGAAGGAGAATTGCTTGAACCCAGGAGGTAGAGGTTTCAGTGAGCCGAGATCACACCACTGAATTACAGCTTGGTCCACACAGCAATATTCTGTCACCAAAAAAAAAAAAAAAAAAAATTCCTCCTATTGTACAAGACGAGAGACAGGGACCATGGATAAGACATGGGACGTCACATAAATCACACTTGGCTCCTTTCCCTCCTGTTCATCAGAGGCTGGACTCTCTTCAGTTTTTGTCTCTCCATTTCTGCAGGTAAATCTTTGGTTTCTTGGTTAGCCACTTTAGCCTGTTTTCCCTTTGCTCCCCTTTTCCCTTTTGTTTGCACTTTTATGTCTGAAGATTTCTCCTTTCCTGCTGCCTTTTTTGGGCTTTGTTTCTACTTTTGCAGGAGCAGGGTTAGCAGACAACTGTGCCAATCCTCCTCTTGGGCTTTTCCTTCATGGCCCCATTGGCTAAGCTGATCTTCCTCTTGGGCATGTTGGTGGTAAGGAGGGTGCCTGCCGGGTGCCTACAGGCAATGGCAAAACCAGAGCTTTCTGGAAGCTGGGCTCACCAGCTGCTGCTGCTCCTCCCACTGCCCAAGCTGCCGAGACCTGTGGTGCAGACTTTTTTCCTTTAAGTTTACAGAGCTATAGTTCCATCATTCAGATAGTAGTAGTTCACTCATTTATTCTGTAATGAATACCCCAGCTTCCCCTCCTCCATCTGCCACTTTCTTATCTACTGAATTTGATCTTAACTCCTCAAAAAGCTAGCCAAATCTGGAAGAAAGTTGGAACACTTAGGATGGTGAAAGTAATGCTATTTCAAATGCAACCTTGTATTATTTTACATTAGAAACAAATTGGAAAAGAATAAAAGAGTCTCTCTCTGTTGCCCAGGCTGGAGTGCAATGGCGTGATCTTGGCTCACTGCAACCTCTGCCTCCTGGGTTCAAGTAATTCTCCTGCCTCAGCTTCCCAAGCAGCTGGGATTACGGGCATGTGTTGCCATGCCCAGCTAATTATTGTATTTTTGGTGGAGACAGGGATTCGCCATGTTGGCCAGGCTGGTCTTGAACTCTTGAGCCTCGGATGATCTGCCTGCCTTGGCCTCCCAAAGTGCTGGAATTACAGGCCTGAGCCACCGTGCCTGGCCAAGGGACTTTGACTTGAACATTTCTGAATTCCTATAATATTTAAATTCAAATAAATGTCTTACTTTTGTAAGAAAAACTAATTTTTATGAAAAGGAAACCGGTAATTATCTTGTTAACATAAAAATTATCTATAGTCATCCTTATTTTGATAACTAATGTGAGGCAAAATGTCCCTATATCCATATATTTTCCATTAATTTTATTATGTATTTATGTATTTATTTATAGATCAAGTCTCTCTCTGTCACCCAAGCTGGAGTGTAGTCATGTGATCATAGCTCACTGCAAACGTGACCTCCTGAGCTCAAAGAATCCTCCTGCCTCAGCTTCCCAAGTAACTGGGACCAGAGACATGTGCCACTACACCCATCTAATATTTTGTGGAGATGAGGTCTTACTGTGTTTCTCAGAATGGTCTCAAACTCTTAGGCTCAAGTGAGCCTCCTGCCTCAGAATCCCAAAGTGTTGGGATTATCAGTGTGAGTCACCATGCCCAACCTGTATTTGATTTTTTATTTACTTAGCAAACCAACATTTTGCACTTTCTTTTTCTACTATGAAAAAAAAATCTACTCTCTAATCTATAAGGGGGGTGAAAACCTATTTGCAATGTGAAGTAGGCCATTTGAGATTGAAATCTAACTATGAGGGGGAATAATCTACTTAAAATAATACTGCTTAACTTTATACAGAAAGGGCAACTTGGTACCAGGACATAAGTTAATATAAGGAACAGGAAGATACCACACAAAGAACCAATTTTAAAATGATCTCTTCATTTTTAATTTCTTAAAAAGCACATTCATAGCACACTCCAAGAATGCCACACAGCAGTGGTTTGCTGCTCTTTGTCAGAATATGTCAGAAAACAAAACAAAAAAAGTTCTAAATGCTAATGGTTTTTAAAATTAGTTCTCTGAAATTTCTGTAAAGCCAATATCACCAGTCATCTAAATCTTTATTTTGGAATAGTAAACCTTTCAAAAACGTAATGAGCATCTACCCAAAATCACACTTCACTGAAATGCAATTAAAAGCTATCCAACAAAAACAAAAATAAATATTTTTCTAGAAAGTACATATTTGGCAATTTAACATAACATTAAAAACAGCTTTCAAATGTAAAGGATGTCTAGATTTTTACTTTTTATTACCAGACAGAAGGTTTGGATCTTTAGTGGTTCCAATCTGATTTCAGTAATAGGAGGAATGATTACACTGAAGTTATGAACTTCAGTCCTAACAAAGCCAATACACTTTCCTAATACAGTGATTGCTTTTTTAAAAGTAGTGTCCAGCCCGTACTAAAAACTATTAAAAGTAAGGCCAGGTAGCTCAAATTACTTGGTTAATTTGGTATCCAAATTGGTTTTTTTTTTTTTTGGAGACAGAGTCTCACTCTGTCACCCAGGCTGGAGTGCAGTGGCACGAACTCGGCTCAATGCAACCTCTGCTTCCCAGGTTCAAGCAATTCTCCTGTCTCAGCCTCCTGAGAAGCTGGAATTATAGGCAAGTGCCACCACACCCAGCTAATTTTTGTATTTTTAGTAGAGACGGGGTTTCACCATGTTGCCCAAGCTGGTCTTGAACTACTGACCCCAAGTGATCTGCTCACCTTAACCTCCCAAAGTGCTGGGATTACAGGTGTGGTCTACCACTCCTGGCTCCTAAATTGTTTTATACATAGTTTTCATCCTCTGATTATTTAGTATTTCTAATTATTTTGCTATATTTCTCTGAAAATCAATCAAGTGCACAGTTTTAGTGAACTGTAAACTAAATTTTGCCTCATTAACTAAAATACATCAAACATGTTTAAATCTTATATTCTGTCCTTCCAGATAATTTAAATTTTTATGATAAATGTAGATCAGCCACACCATGAGTTATATCCTAATCTTTTTACCTAAATGTAGAAAAACTGAAAGCTAACTGGATAGTTAAAAAGCTGTTATATATTTATCTCTTTCAGAAACCTATGATGCCTTTTCTTAGATATAAGTATGGAAAATGAATTCTGTTCATGATATATCGACAAAAATTACATTGCTTATGTCTATTTCTGTCAGCCATTCTGAAGCCAAATTTCCATTTGTTTTACCCAATAAAGAACATATATTTTCCTTTAGAATAATGGTCACAGTCTGGAAACATAATTGAGAAAGGCTAATTCTGGGCCAATAAAATCTTCAAGGAAAGACTCAACACTAAACAGGGAGGTGAATAAAGCAAATATGTTGTAATGAAACCCTCCCTTGTAAACACATCTGTCCTTTCCTCCCATATTTGGAAATGTTACCTAAGTTTAAAAAATTAATCAAGACATTTTACACCACAAGTCACATAAAATAAGGTCTATTTCAGCCAGATAACCTATAGCTGTTAAAGAATTATATGTTCCTGTCCATAAGATGAGAGGTAGTGACATTTTATTCTCTCAATGCTGAGCTAAAAATTCCACACATCTGGCACATGGGTTACAAGGGGAAAAAGCACAGAAGCACCATTGTCCACTCCTCATGTTTTGGTATTTCGGGTCACCCATAACTTCATTTGCTATTGGCAGCTGACAATCACTGGTGTGTGTGTTAACACTGAAGCAGTGGGTATCAGTGCTATTCATCATATGGTACTGGTGGGTCTCCATCATCTTTCAAAAATGAAGCAGCCTTCCTTCCATTCTTCTGAACGTGATCTTCATTCATTTTCTCCAAAGCTTCTATCTACAAAATTAATACAATGAATCCATTTGTCAAAATTCTACTTTTCACAGAAGCCATATTTTAGATTGTGCTAGTAATTTTTTTTTTTTGGAGTCTATGTTGCCCAGGCTGGTCTAAAACTCCTGGGCTCAAGAGATCCTCCCACCCTGGCCTCCCAAAGTATTGGGATAACAAGAGTAAGCCACCATGCCTGGCTGGGCCAGTAATTTTTAGTCTCTTACAAACTAGGTTATTCCTAATGATTGTTTGAGTTGAAATTACTATATACATGTGTGTGTGTGTGCATGTGTACACATATAGTCATATATATGTTATCTTTTTTACTTGATTATATTACAAGGATTAAAATTACTATCTTTATCCAACTAGCAATTGGAATCAGCTATGTTTTAAAATGTATTCTATAAACATTCAGGAAACAGGAAAAAGAAAATTCTACCATTCATCAAACAACAGTATCACTTACTTACTGATCAACTGTATAGTGCTGGAGGCTGAATTTACCATCTCTTTGTTACTTCTTTCTAGCCTTAGTTGCCAGCACAGCTTAACCAAACTCAAGTCATCCTGGGTAGTTCTGGAACAGACTCAGCAATCCCCCTCTCTGCTTTGGTATAATGTTGGGGATAATTAACTGCTATTTCACCTTTTAGATTTTCTTTAATTTTAAGAGACTTTCTCTGGAGAAAGCTTTTTCATGGTTCTCTAGATCTGATATTATAATAACTGAGTAGTTCCAAGGATGGCCACTTCTAACTTTCTATGTTCAGTAAAGGGCAGGGACCACATGTTACTGCTTTTTGTATCACCTTCCTCATTCATTAAATAAGGGAAATAGGAGTCTACTGGAAACATGTAGTTTGCCCATCTTAGCCAAATGGTGCCCTCTTTGAATAAATGTTTTGCTGTGTGTGTATTCTGAATTTTAAGTATTAAAAAAAAACAAAAACAGGCCAGGCACAGTGGCTCACACTTGTAATCCCAGCACTTTGGGAGGCTGAGGTGGGCAGATCTCTTGAGGCCAGTAGTTCAAGACCAGCCTGGCCAACATGGCAAAACCCCGCTCTACGAAAAAGACAAAAATTAGCCAAGCATGGTGGCACACACATGTAATCCCAGCTACTCGGGAGGCTGAGGCAGGAAAATCACTTGAACCCCAGAGATGGAGGTTGCAGTGAGCTGAGATCACGACACTGCATTCCAGCCTGGGTGACAAAACAAGGCTCAGAAAAAAAAAAAAAAAAAGGAAGAAAAAAACAAACATCTCAAGAAAAGAAAAATCTCAATTTAATTTTGTTTTGGGGGAAGGGGCGGATGAAACTAGCTCTGAGTTTCAGTTATCTCCTCTATGCAGTTCTGCATGACCAGCAAGGTGAAAAACAGCTGTTTCTCACATACCTCAGCTAAAAAATCAGCTTCATTATCTGCTGAGATGTTTAAGCCTGAAACAGCATTGAAGAGTTCTCGTTCACTAAGGGCTTCCTTGACTCCTCCTTTCTGGAAAAACTAGTAAGGAAATACAAGAACGTCAGTAAGAAGTACTAGCAAGGTTCTCTTATAAACTAAAAACAGGAAGAAGCATATTTACAAAAAGATACCACTACATTCCTTCCATCATTTTTCAACCATCGATTTTCCTAATTCCAAGCTGGACTATTCTCAGGTTCTAGTTGCTTTTCATCCTCTCACATATCCACTCTGCCTTCTGAATTTAGTTCATCCCACTGCACCTCCTATAGCTATAAAAATGAGTGGTATATATAAAACCACTTGGCATTGCTTTGAATATGTAAAGAGAATGCTTTCACTAAACTCCATGAATTAAAAATTTCAAACAGGCTCAGAGGTTATGTCCAATATGAAGTTATTCTATGCTTTAGAAAGATCATTCCTACCCAAATCTACTGCCAACAATTTATTTCCCTTAGAAATGCCAAACAAGTATGACCCAACTCTGTGCTTAACTGAATTTTTATCTTCCCCAATATATATATACACACACATTAATGAATATATATATATATATATATAAAATAAACTAACCTTTTAGTTATTTTTACCCTGCTTCATGGTGACAGTCATCAGACACTGTCCCACAATGGAGTCTGTCCCTCTTTTAATGGTAATAATGGCAGCAAGCATGCAGGCACACTATACACCAGCTTCTGTTTAACCACTATGCACACATTAAATATCTACTTGACTGCTTAAATACAAGGAGTCAAAACACTCACTTATTCCCTTCAACTTTTTTTTTTTCTGAGATGGAGTCTTGCTGTTGCCCAGGCTGGCTGGAGGGCAGTGGCACGTTCTTGGCTCAATCCAACCTCCGCCTCCCAAGTTCAAGCGAGTCTCCTGCCTCAGGCTCCCGAGTAACTGGGATTACAGGCGCCTACCACCATGCCGGGCTAATTTTGTATTTTTAGTAGAGATGAGGCTTCACCACGTTGGCCAGGCTGTTCTTGAACTCCTGATATCAAGTGATCCACCCACCTTGGCCTCCCAAAGTGCTGAAATTACAGGTGTGTCCCACTGTGCCGCGAACATTTTACCTAACTGTGAGACATGGAATCGAATTCTTGCAAAATGAAATTTGACAAATTGATCTTTATATCCTTGTCCTTGTCCTGAAAGCAGCCAGTATCCCTTCCTTCAATTTCTAATAATATGGTCCTCTTATCTTAGGAATGAGAAAAATATCTGCAGCTGTTACGTCCAAAAAAAGGCATATTGGTTTACACAATTACCTGCGAGACATTCCTGCAGTCCCGGAACAAGAACTCCAGGCCATGAGGATGGGTAGGTTCTACTGACTGACTGACATCAATCAACCAGACCTATTTCAATACAGAACACAGACTCATGTATTTACTTTTAAAAATTTACTCAAAGTAATTAAATCTGAACATTAACCAAATGTTCTCCTCACCTTTCCAGCATGCCACAGCATGTTGTACTCACTGAGGTCAGCATGGACAAGTGTACATTCATTATATAACTGCCGCATCAACTGTGAAGAGGAAAGGCTCACATTAGGAAATGAATAAACTAAGTGGCATTATACAGTTATATTATTGATGATGACACACCCCCACTCTTATAGTAGAAATCAGCATTAATGCATTTGTTTGCCACCCTTAATAGTATTAAATAGGAAAGGTTCATCACTATTTCATCTCTTCCCCAGTGACCCCACCTCCCAGAGGCCGGAATAACACTTGATTTTCCTTTCAATGCTTTCCTTTGGAGGCAAAGTGGATCACCCTTCTAGTTATATCTTTAAAACTTAATTTGGATTAACATTTCCATATTTACACCAACTGCTGCATTACATGACGACTTCATGCAGACTGCATAAAGTAGCACATTAAGTTTCTCCGAAAACACAGAGGGATAATGGCAGTATTAGGAGTATTTTCTCAACCTAGAAGGTCCTCAGATTGAATTCAGTTGCTATTTCAAAGCATGTAGCTTTCTCAAGATTCCCGACACATGCCTTCCAACTTAACATCTGCACTTCCTACTATTTTCAGTTTCCATCATATTCTTACGATGAGACCAAACCTGTTTCCTTTCCTTCACTGTTAAAGCTATTAACATTCAATGGCCGAGTGCAGTGGCTCACACCGGTAATCCTAGCACTCTGGGAGGCTTGGGCCCAGGAGTTCGAGACCAGCCTGGGCAACATTGTGAGACCCCGCCTCTTATTTGAAAACAAAAACAAATACAAAAAACCATAACATTCAAGAAAGCACACAAACTAATGAGGCACTTTCTCTGCTAACTGTAGTAACAGCAAATTTTATTTAATGAAGTTTTGTGAAAAATAGCTTCATGTACTACGTCACTAATCCTAGCAATAAAGACTTCCCTGGTTAAGTTTGTGAGTTTTCTAAAATTATTTAAGACACACACATATTGATATAAAAACAACTCTTTAGTGTTAACGTTCCTTCACAAACTTCTTGTTTTTGTTACAGCACCTTGAAACAGCACTATTTTAGGAACTTGGTTTTTTTGTTTGTTTTTTGTTTTTTTATTAAAGAGATAGGGTCTTCCTCTATATCTCGCCCAAGCTGGAGTGCAGTGGCACAATCATAGCTCACTGCTGCCTTAAATTCCTGGGTGCAAGTGATCCTTCCACCTTAGACTCCTGAGTAGCTGGGACTACAGGTGTGTGCCACCATGCACAGCTAATTTTTAATTTTTTAAAACAGTGTCTCGCTTTGTCGCCCAAGCTGGAGTGCAGTGGCACCATCTCGGCTCACTACTGCAACCTCCGCCCCCCTGGTTCAAGCAATTACCCTGCCTCAGCCTCGTGAGTAGCTGGGACTACAAGTGTATGCTACCACGACCAGCTATTATTTCTGTATTTTTAGTAGAGACGAGGTTTCACCATGTTGCCCAGACTGGTCTCAAACTCCTGGGCTCGAGTGATCCTCCCGCCTCAGACTCCCAAAGTTCTAGATTACAGGTGTGAGCCACCATGCCTGGCTTCTTTAAGGAAATTTTTTTAAAGTTTAGAGGAAACATTTTTTAAAGGTGGTGTGTAAATGCTTTTAGAAGGACAACTTACATGAAGAGTTTGATAGTAGGCTTCTTTCATTTCTTCACTGTTGAGCTTTACTTCTTTTAATTTAGGAGCTGGAACTTGATCATGGCCAATAAAAGACATAACTAAAATGTGTTTCTTGAGTAGTACAACTGTTGGACAAGGAATTCCAGCTCTCTGCATTCTATACAGAAAGAAATGATTAAGAATATACAGATCAGAAGGAGAAATTATGTCATTTATTCAATAAATATCTAATCAGGGCCTGCAATGAGCTGGCACTATGTTCTACCCTGGTGGTGTGGAAATACAAAGACAATAAAACACATCCTCTGCCTGTAGGGAGCTGATGGACCGATGGAAATGACAGACAAGTAAAGAGACAAGTACAATGCAACGTGACATATGCACTGGCAGAGGTATGGGTAGGAGCTACAGGAGCATAGCACCAAGGATGGCTTATTAGAAGAAGAGGTGGGGAACAGGAATTAGCCAGATGAAGACAGTGCAAGAAAATGCAGGGAGGTGTTCAAGAGCACAGTCCATTTGGGGAATGTATATCAATCAACATAGCTGGGTCTGTGAGTAGGAGGCAGGGCAACGTGGGCTGAAGCTACGGAGACAGGCAAGCTCCACTACAGAAGACTGTTAAAGAATTTTAAGAAAGGCAGGAATCTCAGCAGTATAGAAAAAAGATTGGAGGACAGCAAGACCTTCTAGACAATGATTCTACCTGGAATTTACTTTTTTTTATTCTTATTTTTTTTGAGACAAGGTCTCACTATGTTTCTTGGGCTGGTTTTGAACTCCTAGGTTCAAGCAATCCTCCCATCTCACCCTCCCAAGTAGCTGGGAGTACATGTGCATACCATGCCTGGCCTTTTTAGTAAGGAACTCTCAGTAGAGGAATTTTGTAACTAATATATATAAGTAATTACTTTTGAAAGCAAATATCTTTAGAAAAGAACAAACTAAAAATAAGCTTTCAAAAGATTAAGATAATGGAAAGGTTTTTAATGAGAAGGATTATTACTGAATTTCTTGGTTGATAAATTATCTGACAGAAAATAAATTACTTAGAAAATTCAGATACAAGTATAAAAATTAAAATGTAATTTGATTAGTAAGAATTTACTCCCACAAAATTAAACTAAATGTAATAAACATTTTCTAAAACAAAAAAGAAGCCTTTTTTTAATACGAAGCCTAATTGGATGCTGGAAGTTTTACTTCTTAATAAAAGCAATTTAAAAATGGCATTTAGATACGTGATAAAATGTCTAAGGCGGCGAATGCCCCAATTTCCTTCAAGCTTTACCGAGGAAAGAAAAAAGAAAATGTCTTTTTCATCCTAAAAGTATGAATTGAGGTTATACGCCTGCCCTTTCATTATTTCCACAAATGAATTTAAAAGCAAGCATGGATTTTTTTATCCTAATGCAAAAAGGTATTTACCCAAGATTATGTCTAGCACAATATTTTCTTTACCTTGTGAGATTGTGCATTTCTTTTTCTGCCCACATGCGGATGATCTTACGTGGATTTAGTTTACTGAAGCGATCTTTAAACCTGAAATCATCTTTAATATATTTGTCACGATTCTTAAACTCATTAAGGGTTGTTTTAAATACCTTGATGGCACATTCTGTAGGTATAACTTTACTATCTTCCTTTTCATCCTCCATGCTAAGTGGAAGAAAAAAAATAAGTCAGTGTAAGTTGCCAGCTCACAAGAACAACAATTTCAAAATAAAGACTCTGTAACACTAAATTAGATCTACCTTCTCTCAGTGTCAAGTCTGGCTTTTTAAAGTTAGGTTTTGGATCTTAATAAAGCCTTAGGTTTTGGTTTGATTTTTTAAATAAAACATACTTACAAATAAATTGTCAACCAATTTTCAACCATCCGTAACATAATGTTCTTTACTTAATGACTATGGAATCAAGCTTGAGATACAATGAAGACATACACACTTGAAAATAGGCTACAGTCTCTCTGATATGTTCAGGAGCAAAATTCAATAAAAGCATAAATAAAACAGCTTTTTAAAAAATAACTCTTTCACTCCTAGCAGACATAAATGTGAGTAAAAGGGTTCCTGCGCCCCACAAGTCTACAAGAAGTGGCAGCAGAGAATGAAAGAAGTACATGAATAGGAAAGTTCCCTTTTCACTGGAAAGGTCAGGCAAGACTTCATGGCACAAGTGCCATCTGAAACAGAAACAGGACAATGGGTAGGATTTGAACAGCATGAACAAAAGCAGAGGCAGGAAATCACAGGACATGTCTGACGAACAACAAACACTATAGTTAAGGCCTGGCTGGAGAGAAAATGAAAAAAGTTGGAGCTAAAGGGCGGGACAGAGGTACATCTGTGAAGAGCCTAGACAAACTGCTGGAGGTGGTGGGGAATTGTGAGGGCTTCTGAGTGTGGCTCTCTCAAATGCACACTTCATGAAGATCAAAAGAATTATACTGTCAGCATGGAAAGGCTCAGGGAGAGGCCACAGGTGTGGGGTCGACTCAGGATGCTATGGCAATAGTCCCCCAGTAGTGAGCTTCAGTCTTGATGGTTGGCAGTGGGAATGAAAAGGTGGATGGAATGAGAAACAATATTAATATTTACCTTTAGATATCTGATAGGATCTTAATCTGGGAAAGAAAGGAACTGTATTTCCAAAAGACAGAATCTGAGTAAAACTATCCACCTCCTTCTGTACCATATTCTCCCAGCTGATTCCTCCTCTCCCATTTAGTCTCAAAAGGTTAAAGTCCTTCACCTGGTTTTAAGAAACTTTCCCTAGAACTTCAGGCCCATTTATCCAACTCCTACATGCCACCACCTAGAAGTCTACCCGGCATCTCAAATTCAACATGCCCAAAACAAACTCATGCTGAGTTCTCACTCCACACTTCCCCAGGCTCTCACCTCATTAAATGGCACCACCGTCAGCTGCTCTGGCCCCACATCCAATCCAACAGCACGTGCTGTTCCCTCTACCTTCAAAACACACACCAGTGCTCTCCTACTCTTCACTTCCACTGCCACTCTCCTTAGTCCAAACCTTCACCATTTCTCACTTATACTATAATGTTTTAACTGATCTTACTGCTTCTTCTCTTCTCCTATAATTCATTTTCCACGCAGCAATCTTTTGAAAATAAGAATCAACTCATAGCTTTGATTCCCAGAGCAGTTTAAAGAGCAGACTCCTTACCCTGGCCTAATAAATCCTACCCGGTCCAGCCTATGCTTACTCCTCCAGCCCCCTCTCCTGTTCACAACCTAGCTCCAGGCAGACTGGGTTTCTTACGCCCCCTTAAAGATACTTTGTACCTGTCCTAAGGCATTAGCACTAGCTGTTCTCTAGTTCAAAATGCCCATCCACCTGATCTTTGATGTATCCTAGATGTGTCATTTACATGTCACTTCATTGGAGAAGGCTTCCCTGTCCTACTGATAAAGCTAATCAACCTGTTACTATGACATCATCCTATTTTAACTATCTGCATAGCACATATCTGATATTTTTTGTTTATTATTGACACGGAGGAGGGTTGAGGACGGGGGAAGCACATTCCATTACGGTAGAGACCTTCCTTGTACCATTTATTGTTGTATCCCTAGTACCTAGAAGAGTACCTGTACATGGTACATGACAGCTGCTCAACTATTTGGTTAACAGATGACACAGTTTTCAGGGAGACAGATTAGAGCCTCTATTCAGAGAAGAAATCTCTAATAACTTAAAAGACATTATGACAGAATAGGCCAGATTTTGAGATAAGCTCCTTGTCATTGGACTAGTTTACCCACACAGGAGAGGCCTTAGCAAAAATACCAAACAAGAGATTCCTTTACTTGGACTCTAGGATCAAATTCAATTTACAAGATTTACCTTGTCATTCTTCTACTATAAAAATTCGTTTCTTAGCAAATAACACATCCCTCTGACTAGCTTTTAAGGTCCTCCTCATCAATTTCCAGTTTCCTTACACAGCTTTACTTCCTACTACCCTCTGAACATATACCTTCTTAATCTTCTCAGTGCCTAAGCGTCAAGCCTCCACCCTTAGCCTTTTTCTTAAAGAATGAAACATTACAGATGACGCTGAAGTTCCCTCTGATTACCATTCCCCATCTCAACTCACCAAAGGCAATAACTATCATAAATGCTATATTTCTAGCATTTCTAGTCTCTTTCAAAAGATAATATATAAGTATCAACAAGCATCTATAAAGTAAACATCTCTCTATGTAATTTTCTGTATGACTTAAAAAATTTAAATAGATGATATACTGTATGTATATTTCTGCAACTAGCTTTTTATACTCAACACTGGATTTTTTTTTTAACCTACTTTTAAAATCCAGACTGAGATCCAATTTCACTGGTATCTTCCCTGAATGTACCTGGCAATTATTGTGTTAATTTTCTATTCCTATCCCATATGAGGTCTCATTTGTATAACTGTGCACTCTATTATATAATTACCTTTCATTGACCATAATGGTTCTTACTGTAATGTTCCGCTTTTCACTAAAGCTTAAGCTCTTTGAGAGTAAGAAACATGTCTTATATTTTATTCCCTGATTAGCACAAATTACTGTTTGAATAATTGTTGATTGCCTGACCAACCTGAGAGTGATAGAAACCAGAGCTTTGGGCTGGGGACAGTGGATCATGCCTGTAATCCCATCACTGTGGGAGGCTGAGGCGGGCGGACCATGAGGTCAGGAGTTCGAGACCAGCCTGGCCAACAGGGTGAAATGAAACCCTGCCTCTACTAAAAATACAAAAATTAGCCAGGTGGTGGGAGCCTGTAATCCTAGCTACTCAGGAGGCTAAGGCAGGAGAATCCTTTGAACCTGGGAAATCAGGTTGCAGTAGACCGAGATCATGCCACTGCACTACAGCTTGGGCGACAAAGCAAGACTCGATCTCCAAAAAAAAAAAAAAAGAGGAAAAGAAGCTTATACTGTTGGCGGCAGTATAAATTGGTGAACCTTCTTATAAGGCAATTAAGCAATATCTACCAACATTCAGAATGTACACAACCTGCAGATCGACTAGTTAGTAGGGAAAATTATATTTCCTCTATTTAAAGATAAACACAAATTTAAAATTTTGGCCTTTAGGATGACATACAAGAAAAAGTTTTCTAAATTTTAAAGCAATTTTTAAGTAAAAAAAAAAAATCAAGAAATATGCTTGCTACAATAATCAGCTCAGGGGCCCAAACAGTGAGCAAAATCAGATACTCTCCATTCAATGAGGCCTTCCACTATTTAACAAAAAGGGGAAAAATGCATACTAGTCTTCGCCCCAACAATTTCATTGTTAGAACCTTGGCTAAAGGATATGTTTGCAAAAGCATACCAAGGTAAATGTATGATGATATTCCCATAAAGGAATTTACACAATGGAATGTATTATTTTAAAAATGGGTGTGGCATAAGCTAGAATATAGATTACATAAAACCCTGAATATAGAATATAATCTCTTTTGTATAAACAAAATAAAAAATATATGGTAAAAAAATTTTCTGGAAGACTAAAACCTGTGTACAGCAGTTACCTCAGTAGAAAAGACCTACGGGGTGAGGATAGGCAATATGAAAGCTACTTTTCATTTAATTCGTTTCTGTAGTGTTAATTTACCACCATGAGTAATCTCTCACTTTAAAATAACCTGTACCATTTAAAAATATTTGTCTGGTCTTTGACCCTTCATTTGAGATTTGCAAAGAGAAAAAGAAAACAATGTAAGGAAAAAAGAAATGATCATTAAAGTTATTATCAGGTATTATCAAATATGATCTCTTTTATCCCCCCAAAAAAACCTAAAAGGTGAAATTCAGTTTTTAAATGAGTTTTAGTAACTTGTTCCAGATAGCTTGAAAAATGTAAGCTCAAATGTTAAGTTTTGTCCTAACATTCATTTTTATCCTATTCATTTTGGGACTTAACAGTATAATTTGATATATAACTATACGTATATGTCTTATCTAAAAAGAAAGACTAGTTAAGTAGTTAAGAAAACTAAAGAAAAGGAGTTGACCAATAAACACTTAAATCCTCTTAAGTACACAATAAATAACTTCTAAACTTAAAAAACACTGGAACAACTTCTGTAATCTATCACATTTTTGTAAATGGTGTTAAGATAAAGGAATAGCTGAGATGGTGCCTTGCAGGTTGGGTTCAATGGTAAGTAACCAGATGATCTAATGTTCTTGGCTTAAGGACATTCTCTAAACAGGCTTCACTTAAAAAATATTCCCTTTCCCATGTCATTCTTTACCTAAGCCCTTGTGACAAAAGTAAGGTGTTTAAAATGTAAAATGGCATAAAATCATCAAATAAGAAATTTTTTATAATGCTTGCATTATAAAATGAGTTTTGGGTCAAACCCAGGTCTAGGTTCAAATTTTGCTTTGCTCCATACACTTTCCTGTATAATATAGTATAATTACAACAGTGTAGAAAATAATATATGCAGCTGGGCCTGGTAGCTCACACCTGTAATCCCAGCACTTTGGGAGGCAGAGGCAGGTGGATCACCTGAGTCAGGAGTTTGAGACCAGCCTGACCAATATGATGAAACCCCATCTCTACTAAAAAAATACAAAAATTAGCCGGGCATGGTGGCATACACCTGTAATCCCAGCTACTTGGGAGACTGAGAAAGAAGAATCACTCGAACCTGGGAAGTAGAGGTTGCAGTGAGCCAAGATCCTGTCATTGCACTCCAGCCTGAGCAACAAGAGTGAAACTCCATCTCAAAAAAGAAAAAAAGAAAGAAAATAATATATGCACTAAAAAAACTGGGTGAGTCTACCCAAAATTATTAATGATTATCTCTGTGTGGTAGTAACAGGATGTGTTTTTCTTTATATGCTCCTATACTACCTAGGCTTTCTACAGTTAACACTTTAAAAATTAAAATTACTCTGCTTGCCATATAGCATTATCTGATTCTCTGTAAATCCATTAATCTTGAGGAGAAGAGACTAAGATTTTTTTCATAAGATGGTATCATATTTTGCTCATTTACCTCCCTCCATATGCATGAAAGACAACAGATTCCTTTCCTGTACTAATACAGCCAGTGATTGTCTCCAACATTCCAGAGTTCACCATTTTATACATAAGTAAACGTGTCTTAGGATCAACTGCTTTTTCCTGCAAGAGATAAAGCACTGTAAGTGAAAATAACTGCTAATCACAATACATTTTCTGAGCCACTTCAAATTTTTTTTTTTTTTTTGAGATGGAGTCTTACTCTTATTGCCCAGGCTGGAGTGTGACGGCACAATTTTAGCTCACTGCGACCTCCACCTCCCGGGTTCAAGCGATTCTCCTGCCTCAGCCCCCCGAGTAGCTGGTATTACAGGTGCCTGCCACCATGCCTGGCTAATTTTTGTATTTTTAGTAGAGACAGGTTTTTACCATGTTGGCCAGGCTGGTCTTGAACTCCTGACCTCTTGATCCACCTGCTTCAGTCTCCTAAAGTGCTGGGATTATAAGCATGAGCCACCAAGCCCAGCCTAATATCTCTTTTTTAGAGAGAGAGAGACAGGATCTCACTCTGTTGTCCAGGATGGAATGCAGTGACATGATTATGGCTCACTGCAGCATCAAATTCCTGGACTCAAGTTCAAGTGATCCTCCCACCTCAGCCTCCCGAGTAGCTGGGACTACAGGTGCGTACCACCATGCTGGATGCCCAGCTAATTTTTACTTTTTTTGCAGAGACAGGGTCTCCCAGGGTTTCCCAACGTTGCCCAGGCTGGCCTTGAACTCCCGGGCTCAAGCAATCCTTCCACCTTGGCCTCCCAAAGTGCTGGGAGCCACATCACCTGGCTTATTTACATCTTTTTTTTTTTTTTTTCTGGTCATGGTCTTCCTCTGTCACCCAGTCTACAGTACAGTGGTACAAACATGGTTCACTGCAGCCTTGACTTCTCGGGCTCGAGCAATCCTCCCACCTCAGCCTCCCAAGTAACCTGGCCCACAGGTGTATGCCACAATGCCCAGCTAATTTTTTTCGTAGAGCTGGGGGTCATTATGTTGCCTGGGCTATTCTCGCACTCCTTGGCTCAAGTAATCCTCCTGTCTCTGTCTCCCAAAGTAGTGGGATTACAGGTGGGTGCCACAGTGCCTGGCTTTATTTACATCTTTAATTTGAAAAGCCAATCTCATAAAAAATATCAAACATGAAGCTTTTTTTCTTTCCCCAAGTTTTCAAATATGAATCTTCCTAGTAAAAAAGAAAAAATATATAAATCCTTACTGCTGTTGAATGCTCCTTTTTTTCATGTAGGCGAGCACTTCGACGTTCTTCTGAGTAGGCATGTTGTTTTAAAGCATTGAAAACATGGTTTGATAGTTTTAAATCCATTCCAATTCCATCCCCTACCTGAAACTCAGGTGCAAACTGCCAAAAAAAAGAATTAGCATCTAACTACTTTAAAATAGGGACAGTAAAACAACAAAACAAAACAAAAAAAAACAAATGAGTAGTCTTTAATTAATTTCTTACTCAACAGATGATCATACTAGAAAAGCAGAACTCATAGCTACTATAGAGAAAAAATTAATTAACTCATAGAAAGAGAAGCTATATTATTTAAGAAATTACAACCCAAAGGAAGGCATTTATTCTACGCATAGAAAACATCTCATCACATCCAAAACTAAGGTACAACTTTTGGCATATGAGTTGTACCTTGCTTTTAGCCAAAGGACAAAATATTTTACTGTGAAGACTACACCAAATACAATTTTGTAATTATTTGTGAAGAGTGGGTTGTTACAGCAGACTATGTCCACACCGTGACAATTACGTTCTGGAACTGTGCAATTCAGTTAGGTAGCCACTAGCCACATTTGGATATTTAAGTTAATTAAATTAAAAATTCAGTTCCTCCATTACACCACCCAAATTTAAAGTCCTCAGTAGCGAATGTGGCTACCATATTGAACTACGCACATATAGAACATTTCCATAACCACAGAAAGTTCTATTGGACAGAACTATTCTAGAATCAGACCTGGAATATTTCTAGAAATGATATCATTTAATATGTTTACTTAACAAACATTTGTGCTTTAAAATTTAAATGTTTAATATGCTATATTAACCATGATATTTATGAAGGATTTAGAATGCTATGTATATATTTTTTGAGATGGAGTCACGCTCTGTTGCCCAGACTAGAGTGCGATGGTTTGGTCTCGGCTCACTACAACCTCCGCCTCCTAGGTTCAAGCAATTCTCCTGCCTCAACTTTCCGAGCAGCTGGGATTACAGGCATGTACCACTACGCCCTGCTAATTTTTTGTATATTTAGTAAAAATGGGGTTTCACCATGTTAGCCAGGCTGGTCTCGAACTCCTGACCTCGTGATCCACCTGCCTCAGCCTCTCAAAGTGCTGGGGTTATAGGTGTGAGCTCAGCCTAAAACGCTATTTTTAAAAATTACACTTTACTTCTGATTTTGCACAGGTAGTTCAGGCACAAGATAATAAATTCGAAAAGCACAAAAGGGGATATGGTGAAAAATATTTCTCCTTCCCATTCATATTCCCCCATCACCACTGTTCTGTTTTTTTGGGTAGGGATGCTATTTTATAGAAATATGCTGAAGAATAAATGTTATTTTCATAATAACTATTAATTTTAGAATCAATATAAGTCAAATTAGTTTTTCAATGCTGCTACAGAATTTTATTCTGAGGTACTTTGTATTTTCATTAATGTCTCAGCTTCCATGATATTGCTGTATTATTATCTTAAAACATCTTTAGAAAGGAAGAAAGGTATTTTTAGAAATCTAAGATATTATATTTAGAATCCTGTTTTTAAAAGTATTCAAACAAAACTCTAAATTCAGAGATAGATACTTTCTGTAACTTACATTTTCCATTCTTGCTGTATTCTTTCTCCCACATACTACTTCATCATGTTTGGTGGTGATATCTTTTCCTTTTCCAATAAAGCCCTTTTTAGGAGTGGGAACCGGTTTTGCTAAAGGCAATTAAAACAAGCCAGGTATATAAAAATAGCAAAGGCTACATTGCTGTATTCAATGTTGTCTGAAAAGACATTTGAATCTAAGAGTAAATTACCAAATGAGATTCAAAGAAAAATATAAAACTAAAAGACTTCATTGGAAAAATTAGTCTTCCTATACCTCTATTGTGCTGCAGCCGGAAAAAAAAGCTTTGGTACCTGGTCTGTAGGGATCATCACGAGTATCCTGCCAGTCAACCTCATCTTCAGAGCTATCGCTGTCTTCATAAGGATGCACTTTTCGATAATTTTCAAAGGAAATGGAAACTTAAAAAGCAAAAATAGTTGAAAATTTACTTAGGAGCACATTACGAGTGTTTTCTACCACTCAATGGAGTTGTCACAATAAGGTTATAGTACCTTTGCTATCTCCATTGAATTTTTTTTCTTCACGCCTAAGCTGTGCATCATATTCTCTGTCAAATTCCATCTGTAGCATCTGAGCCAGCATAAGGTCACTGGACGTATCAATGTTTTCTCCAGTAATAAATGGTCCTTCAGCAACACTATTCAAAATAAGGCAATATATACTAATATAATGTGCTTAAGAAAACAGAAGTTGCCAATTATGAGAGTAAGAGCTGCCTTTTCCATGTTAAAATTGAACAATGGGAAAGAACTCTATCAAACCATTCGCCTTCTCCTGCACAGCTAGTCTTAAGACCAATGGCATGCACCTGTGGGAGTACCAACTAGGATTAAGAGAGCTGGGAGAGAAAGCTGAAGGTTCTATAATAAAATCCAAACTGAGATCTAGAATTCATTTGTTCTAAATGAAAGTCTGGATGTTTCATTTATCCATAAGGAAAGAACAGATACATATTCATGAAAAGAGAAACTATAAACACTTGATCAAATCTGTATCTCATCTAGTTCAACTGTGGCATTAACATGAAATAACCAAAACCCACAGACACAGTGGTGTGTCCAAGATAATAATGAAAACCAATGCAGATGCTGGACCAAAATTCAAATATCAGTGGACTCTCAGCATGGTGCTTTCTTCTGTACTGCTTTTTCCTAACCACTTGTCATGACAATTACTCATCAAATCCTAAACGTTTGCTATAATAAGTTGCTAGATAAAGTGTTTTGTGAATTTTACTTACGCAACTTCAGGAAAAACAGCAGCTTCTTCTTCTAACTGCAATTCTTTGGCCAGCTGTTCACTCATTACATCAGCCAAAGAACAAGATATTGTATTTTGAGGGACAGCCCATGGACACTATTAAAAAAGAAAAAAGAACAGCTCAATTTATCATATTGAAATAAAGTACCTCTCATTTTACAAAGAAGGTTATCTTTGAGAATTAAACTATGTAGTTAAAAACCAAAAATTAACAATTAGCTATTTGCAGAAATCATCTCAAAAGGAAAAATATCTCCCAGGTCAAATTTATTCAAGGATAAATGTAAACTAAAACAGCCCAAAGCACTTTCTAGCCTGCTAAGTAGGTAGATCCTTAAAGCTGAGGGGAAGCATCAAGTTTTTATAGCATCCCCCCAGTAGCCAAAGAGTTAATGTAATTCCTCTTGTTCCAATTCCTTGCTCACCAAGCTACTTTCTGCTTATAATCTGATTTCCCAAGTAGATTTTCTTACAGGAAGAGACTATACCAACTAGCACAATTTGAAGCCTAATGAAAAGTTATATCTCATTTTAATTTAAATGCTGAGCCATCGAAGTGTACAAAATTATGTCAGCCCCTCTCAAGGCATCTTAGAGTATGCTAAAAACAAAAACAAAAACAGGCCAGGCATGGTGGCTCAGGCCTGTAATCCTAGCACTTCCGGGAGGCCAATGCAGGCAGATCACTGAGGTCAGGAGTTTGAGACCAGCCTGGCCAACATGGTGAAACCCCATAATATCTACCAAAAATACAAAAAAATTAGCTGAGTGTGGTGGCGCATGCCTGTAGTCCCAGCTACTCAGGAGACTGAGGCATGAGAATCACCCTAGCAGGTTAAGGTTGCAGTGAGCCAAGATTACACCACTGCACTCCAACCTGGGTGACAGAGTGAGACCCCCTGCCATACATATACACACAAAAAGCAAGAACAATCAACAAAAATTTTAGTTTTTATGTGACTCTCATTCACTCAGAGCTTATCTGTAATTGAGTGGAGAACTCTCCTGGTAAGGATTTTAAGGTCTAGAATCTTGAAGCTTTCTCTAATCTGGAGAATATAGCCAATTTTTTGGCCTCATAACTCTGCTGACTTCATCCTCTAGGTAGAAGGTACAATGGTGTTTAGCCTAGAAATGTTTCATCTGATCAGTTGTATAGTCCAGGTTCCAAAAGGCAGATGACCATCTACCTCAGAATTCTCAATCACATTTGGCAATGACTAACAGTTTCATAACAGACAACATTTGAATATTCACTATATTTAAGTCATTTGGTTATACATAACTTACATAGATTACTTAAATCACACAATTGAGTAGCTGCAATCCATCCCCATTTTATGGATTTTAAAACTGAAATACATAAAGGCTTTTCTTTTAACCCAAGACGAGCTCTGAACCAAGGCAGTAGGATGCCAGGCTGCACTCTCAGCATTTTGCTGTACAGCCTCCCCACCACCTCATCCTGGAATGTAAGAAGTAAACTGCCCTACCGCCTGCAATACAAAATCCAAATTCCCCACCCTGGGCAACACAGCAAGACCTCATCTCTGCAGAAAATTTTAAAACTAGCTGGGCACAGTGGCAAATGCCTGTAGTCCCAGCTACTCAGGAGGCTGAAGTACGAGGATCATTTGAGCCCTATAATTGTGGCACTGCACTCCAGCCTGGGTGACAGAGTAAGACCCTATCTCTAAATAAATAAATAAAATCCAAATTCCTCAGCAAGGAATGCCCTTTACAACTTGTCCTGATTTGGCTTTCCAATCTCAACCCTCAACTATTCTACACTCTAGTAACACTAATTATATGCCAAAGATGGCATACTTAGGCCTTGCACGGTGACTCATGCCTGTAATCCTAGCACTTTGGAAGGCTGAGGCCGGCAGATCACCTGAGGTCAGGAGTTTGAGACCAGTCTGGCCAGCATGGCAAAACACCATCTCTACTAAAAATATAAAAATTAGCCGGGAGTGGTGGCGGGTGCCTGTAGTTCCAGCTACTCGGGAGGCCGAGGCAGAAGAATCACTTGAACCCAGGAGGTGAAGGTTGCAGTGAGCTGAGACTGTGTCACTTTACTTTAGCCTGGGAGACAGAGGGAGACTGTCTCAAAAACAAACAAAAAAGATGGTATACTTTTCCCCCTGCATACCTTCACACATTCCTTTCTCTACCATTGGTTTTTCTCCCTTCTTTATTTACACCAATTAAATGTCACCTTCTCTATACGGCTGTCTCAATGTTACCAAAGTTGGATCCTTTCCTTTGTGTTCCCATAGCAGTATGCAAACACTGTTAATGCAGGACTGATCCCTGTATTAGGGTTAATGCATTAGCCACAATAGAGCATGATCCCTTGAAGGGTAGAGTCTTCTCATCCATCTTCAGAGCCCAGCATAGAGCTTCAGACATTAAGAGGCATTCCAGTATTTCCTGAGCAGTATGTGCCAAAAGCAAACACTGGAATGATTGGCTGCAGAGGTCTGATGCCTTTCTACATCCCTACTAATCTAATGTCCTTTCCCCCATCTTGGAAAGTCTGCCCTTTTGCCTGCTCACTTCTGAGGCTTCAAGTCTTTTGCCATTTGTCAATTAATTCTGCTAAGGTATTAAACAAAGTATTAGCTTACAATGTCTCAGAAAAAGCAAAAATGATAGGCAGGAATTGTGTTATTTTGAGGCAGAGACTGACCTACTCACAGATACACTGAATCAGAAAGGGAAACATGTAGTGATCTCTAACAGCACCAAGGTACCCTCATGCCCACGCCTGCTGACCCTAGACTCTAGAGACTACACTACCCTGTGCCAGCTCAACTGGTCTACCTCACACTGAGGCAACTTCCTTGGGTGAGGTAAATAAACAAAAATTTCAGAAAGGCTGTCACTCCCATACTTGGAAATCAAACGCAAACTCTTCAAGCCAACAGTTAAAAGCCCTCCATACACCTTTCCCAGGCTGTGAGAGGGACAGCTTCTGGGATGGGGGAAGACCGCTTGGGCTTTCCCTATAGACAGAAGCAGTTCGTCATCCCAAGTGCTCAGAAAATTTACTGCAGGCTCCTCCTATGAACAGGTACCACAGGCTGTATGTAAGGGAATCCTCTGTCATCTGCGACTCTTCAGTCAACCGTGCTTTGTAAAAAATCTAACGAGATGAGGGAAAGGCCCTCTATAATTTTGCTCTGTCCTAGCTATCCAAAGTCATTTTCTACTATTCCACTCATCAACACAAACTCCCTACCGTGTCACAATTTGATGGGACACCCCATACAATCCTTTCCAGTTAGCGATTGTTCTTCAAAGGACATTCATCAAGCTTTTAACCAGCCTCTAGGTTTTTTCTTTCCTATTGCTAAACAACCATAAGACCCACCCTGTTTCCCTCTCCTTTACAAAACTGCCACCACTGAACTCTGTTCCTTGGGGTTCTTCACTACTACTGCATTCTCCCCCACCTGGCTGGCTGCACATTAGAGGGGAATCATCTCACTTTCCTTCCACCTCCTAAAGATGTGAACTTCACTGCTTATATCATTTTTTTTAAAGGTTTGCTGCAGATAAGTATGGGTAAAGTATCAAGTAAAATTAAAAACAACAGCCGGGCGCGGTGGCTCACGCCTGTAATACTAGCACTTTGGGAGGCTGAGGCAGGTGGATTGCTTGAGCTCAGGAGTTCAAGACCAGCCTGGGCAACATGGTGAAACTAAAATACAAAAAAAAAAAAAAAAAATAGCCAGGCATGGTGATACACACCTGTAGTCTCAGCTACTCTGGATGCTAAGACATGAGAATTGCTTGAGCCCAAGCAGCAGAGGTTGTAGTGAGCCAAGACTGCACCACTGCACTCCAGCCTGGGCAACAGAGTGAGACTCTGTCAGAAAGAAGAAAAAGAAAAAGAAAGAAAAGAAAAGAAAGGAAAGGAAAGGAAAAGAGAGAGAGAGAGACTAAGAAAGAAAGAAAACCAGCAAACATGAAAGAGGCACACAGTAACAAAAATTCAGTCCTCTACTGGAAGCAGGTCAAGAGAACCATAACCTACAGAAAGGTCCCCTTCCTTTTTTTCTTTTTTTTTGAGACGGAGTTTCGCTCTTGTTACCCAGGCTGGAGTGCAATGGTGCGATCTCGGCTCACCGCAACCTCTGCCTCCTGGGTTCAGGCAACTCTCCTGCCTCAGCCTCCTGAGTAGCTGGGATTACAGGCATGCACCACCATGCCCCGCTGATTTTTTGTACTTTTAGTAGAGACGGGGTTTCACCGTGTTGACCAGGATGGTCTTGATCTCTTGACCTCGTGATCCACCCACCTCGGCCTCCCAAAGTGCTGGATTAGGGCGTGAGCCACTGCGCCCGGCCCCTCTTTCTAACCATTTAGCTAGAAGACATAATCTAAGCAGAATATTTAAGTAAGTAATTTTTCAACTCAAGCATCTCTGAAAAAAAATGATCTGGATCTATATAACAACACTAATCCATTTAAAAAATTTTTTCAGTTTTAGAATAGTCTTACTTTTACAGAAAAAAACTGCCAAGACAGTACAGTGTTCCCAAATGCTACACACTCAGTTTCTCCAAACTGAGTGTTATAATAATGCAAGGTGTTAATATTATAACATCTTGCCTTAGTATTATACATTTATCACAATTAATAAACCAATATTGACACATTATTATTATTAACTGCAGTCCATACTCTATTCAGATTTCCTTAGTTTTTCCCTAACATCCTTTTTCTGTTTCAGGATCCCATTCAGAATACCATATTACATTAAGTTGTCACATATCCTTAAGCTCCTCTTAGGCTGTGAGTTTCTCAGACTTTCCTTATTTTTTATAACTTTGACACTTTTGAGGAGTGCTGCTAATTCTTTTTTTTTTTTTTACACAACTCTCTTATCAACAGAGCCACACACTTCCTCACTTTTGCTTAGAGTTTGCCAATCCTCCCTTCTCGGATTTCCCCTAAAATTCTTTGACTGTAATAGTAGTTCAGTGGCCGGGTGTGGTGGCTCACGTCTGTAATCCCAGCACTTTGGGAGGCCAAGGAGGTCGGGAGTTCAAGACGAGCCTAGCCAACATGGTGAAACCCCGTCTCTACTAAAAATACAAAAAAGTTAACTGGGCATGGTGGCACATGCCTATAATCCCAGCTACTCCGGAGGCTGAGACAGGAGAATCACTTGAATACAGAAGGCAGAGGCTGCAGTGAGCCAAGATCATGCCATTGCATTCCAGCCTGGGCAACAAGAGTGAAACTCTGTCTCAAAGAAAAAAAACAGTAATTCAGCATTTTGTAACTTGTACCCTGGTACCCTGGGAGAAGGATCCCCAAGACCCATTCAGAGGGTCTATGAAGTCAAAATTTTCACAAAAGTAGTAAGACATTCTTTGTCTTTTTAACTCTCCAAAGAGTGTGACATTTTCCAGAGTCTTCATCAGATGTGATGACATCATCGTTCTGATGGCTAATGGAAAGTGTGCTTGGTATTCTCATGTTTTCTAAAATTTTCTAAAGAGTAGATTTAAGATATAAATGCACATTTTTAGAGATTAATTCAGTTTGTTCTCAGTATTTCTGCCTCGCTCTTATCACCCATCTTCACTTATACCTGCTACAATCTACTTAGCGATGAGGATGGATTTTCTTTAAATATTTCAATTTCACAACAGACTGAATGAAAAAAGAAGATAGAAGAATCCAGATATCTTCTAATAAGCCAGATGTTAGAGACTTGCAAAAATATATAATAATGCTGTTCACTGATTTTGTTTTCAAAAATAGTTTTCTTTTGGCTAGGTATGTGGTTCATACTTATAATTCTAGTACTTTTGGAGGCCAAGGTAGGAAGACTGCTTGAGGCTACAAGTTCCAGACCAGCCTGAACAACACAGTAAGATCTCATCTCTATTTTTTTGTTTATTTTCTTTTTCTACTTTTCTCACATGTTCTAATCTACTTTTAAAGTTTTCTTTAAATGTAAAAATGTTATTTATGCTAACATGACTTTTTTTTTTAAAGCCAGTCAAATTTAACAGTGGGGAGGTCGTATATCAACTTTAATGATACTAATGTTAATAAGTTCTGATAATACACTACCATCAAACTACATGACTTTTAAATGACTTAAAATTTTTCTACTTCTCAGTTTTAATTTCAGATATGATAAATATCAATTGATATAATCAACATAAACAAAAGACATTTGGGGTCCTCAATGATTTTTAAGAGTATAAATAAGTCCTGGCCGGGCACAGTGGCTCATGCCTGTAATCCCAGCACTTTGGGAGGCCGAGGAAGGTGGATCACCTGAGGTTGGGAGTTCAAGACCAGCTTGACCAACATGGAGAAACCCCATATCTACCAAAAATACAAAATAAGCTGAGTGTGATGGCATGTGTCTGTAATCCCAGCTGCTTGGGAGGCTGAGGCAGGAGAATGGCTTGAACCCGGGCGGAGGTTGCAGTGAGCTGAGATGGCACCATTGCACTCCAGCCTCGGCAACAAGAGTGAAACTCCACCTCAAAAAAAAAGTCCTGCTGGGTGTGGTGGCTGACGCGTGTAATCCCAGCACTTTGGGAAGCCAAAGTGGGTGGACCACCTGAGGTCAGGCGTTTGAGACCAGCCTGACCAACATGGTGAAACCCCGTCTCTACTAAAAATACAAAAATTAGCCAGGCTTGGGGGTGGGCGCCTATAATCCCAGCTACTCAGGAGGCTGGGTCACAAGAATCGCTTGAACCCAGGAGACAGAGATAAATAAATAAATAAAAATAAAAAAGAAAGAAAAAGTCCTAACAAAAAAAGTTTTGAGAATCTTTCCATTTTTCAAAACCCTCCTCAAATCTTCACCTCTTCCATGTAGGCTTCTATAATCACTCTGGTTTTCCACGAGTTCCACGAGGTTGGAGAAAAAAAGGATTAATGATAGTAATTTCAGCCTCTTTCTAATTGTTTTCCTCTCAAAACACTGTCCTCCCGATAGACAGCATCTATAAATCCCAGGAGCATTTTTTGTTGCACAATAAAAATGGGATTATATAGTTCTGATGATGTACACTTAAGTAAAAATATGACTGTTAAATATTTTATACTGAATTAGTTTTGTAAGTGAAATTTGTTCTGAAATTAGGATGTATTATGAATAGAGTTTGTCTCATTTGACATTTTTACCAGCCTTTGTCAATAATTAACTGAAGGACTTGAATATATAGAGTATATATTTATAATATTAAATATATTTAAATATATAGAGTATATATTTATAATATTAGTCTCTGTCTACTGATTTCATGCTTTTATGTCTACTAATCTTGACCTTGTAAACAAGGCCTTAAGGAAAAACACACAAAATAACATGCAGATGTAACCACATTTGCCAATGCAGTACCTCAGATTCTTCCAACAGTTGTATGAGAGCTTTTATAAAATTGACCTTCCCTTACTTAATAGCTAATTATTGACCTCTTTTCCTGTTAAGACCTAGCCTGAAGATGTAGTAAGTTTCACAGGTAACCTTTTACATGGGAACAAATATTCTGTGTTAGAATGTAAAGAACAGTTATGAAGCTAGAAAAGCTAGATTCTTTCACGACCTTAATTTGTGAAACACAAAATCCCAATGCCCTCTGCTCTCAAGCAGACCCTCTATAATGTGGCAGAAAAGCATTTTCATCCATATAATCAAAGTATCATGAAAAGGACCTGCCTGGAAACCAGAAACTAAATGTGAAATAAACGTTTTTAGTTTGTCATTCTATAAAAAAGTTTAAACGTCAAAGCCTAGGCAGATAATAAAAATTCATAACCACTTTACAGTCCGTGGTGTGCACTTGAATATTAGCGTCGAGGGAGGAGGGTGCGCCTGGGTTTTATCTTTTACTACTTCAAAAACAAGGAAGTTCCAAACTGGGATAACCACACTTGTGAAATTAAGGAAATAGCTTCCTAAACCAACTTTCTATCTGGCTGTGTATTCGGCTGACTCAACTTGGCCCGTGAAAAACAAGATCGTGCTTGTTTCCTCTCTAGTGTCAGCGTGTGTAAGTCAGTCCTGGTCAGACACATGCCACGGTGATTCAGGAGACAGAGCTGAAGAAACAGAGAGCCCTAACCACTCAAGGTGTCCTTTGGGAACCCCAGCCGCCCTCCACCCCTCTTTCCGCTCCCCCCATTCGCGGGGCTGTGAAAAGAGGGGTGCTCCCTTTCCGCATCCCTCTTTCCACAGCCCCGCGGCCAGTGCCCCCTTGCCGAGGTCGGCGGGGTCCAGCCCCAGAACCTCCCGAGTCGCCCACCAAGCCGCCCTCCCCGGGCCTTCCGAGAGAACCAGCCCGGGTGACCAACGCAGGTGTACTCCAACTTCGTCTGCCACTTACCTTGCTGGGTCCCCAGGCCGCTGCCGGCCGGGGCTCAGGCGATGCCACTCCTACCAGATCCATTGGGGGATGAAGGCAGCGACAAAAACAGAGCAGAGAGGTGGCAGGACGGGAAGCAGGCTCCGCCGAGGAGACAGGCGGGGCAGGGGCGACTGGCTGCTGGTGCCGGAGCGGAGGTGACAGATGGCGGCGGCAGCGGTGGCGGCGGCGGCCGCGTCCGGAACTGGATCGCTCCTCTTCCGCCCAATTCGCTGGGACGGTCGCTTCCGATTGGCCGCCCGCCCCTGGCTCCTCCTTAAGGCACCTTTCCCCGCTCCCGGGCGGGCCACTTCCGGCCACTGACAGCCAGTCTCGGGGAAGCATGGACCAGCTGGCTGTCTCTCGGGGTCACGTTGCTGTGTCGGCCAGGGCCGGGCAGCGACTGGGTGTGGCTTCTTTTGGCCCAGGCTCTGCCCTGTCCCCGCACTGCCATCTCCTTCCTTCCTCCTTGGCACCCTACACAGCCGCTGGATCGAAACTAGATTAGGCTTGTGGATTGTAAATAAATAAACAAACTAGGCTCTCTCTGTTTATTCATTATTTCCTGGCGTAATTCTAAACTGGGATGACTTGGGAGACAGAAAACGGCAGGTTTATAGAGGGAAAAGGGCCTGGAGGGGACAGTCGGAGTTTGTAGTGATGGTTGTTGCTGGGCGGGGTGTGGAACGCGGAAAATGTGTAAAATGTGTTACATAACAGTGAGCAAAAATGAGGCTGCATAATAAAAGTTTTGATTCTGTATTTTGTAGAGATTCTAATAAAATGACCAGGGGAAAGATAACTAAGCATTGTATTTCACTTAGGATATCAATGCACTGTTCAAAATCTTCCATTAACTCTTTAGCCCTCAAAATTACCCTGAGAGCTAAATTCTATCATCTCTATTTTACTGATATGGAAACTGAGGCACAGAGAGGTAAAGTAATTTAGTTGAGGTCACACAGATAACAAGTGGCAAAGCTAATAACAGGTGAACCCAGGCAATCGGTTTGGGAACTGGTCTGGCTGTACATTATGTGTTGACTATAAACAATACACTGTCTGTATGTCGTATATTGAAACATTCTAGAAATAGGTACTGAATAACTGTTTTCCCTGAATCTCGGTTCTGAGTATCTCTAACTGTCCATACTTGAGAGCCCTGGGTTACTGATCTTGATGATATCTATTAGTACACAGCCTTTGCCTCCTTTCCATTCCAGGTGAAAACATGTTCTGAATCCTCCAAACACTCCTACTACAATCAGGCAAACCATAGCCATATGATAGGGTGCAGACGTGTGCTTGGCAAATGCTGCCTATATATGTGAATGTGTGTGGAACATGTGTGTGTTCCTTCTTAGTGTTCAAAGGGCTATAACTGGAGTATAAGTAGCTGAAGAAAGATGGGTAAATGGACTTCTCAATTCTGGTTAAGAAAAAAATAGGAGAACCCGGGTGTGGTGGCTCATGCCTGTAGTCCCAAGATGGATCACCTTAGGAGTTTGAGACCAGCCTGGCCAACATGGTGAAACCCTCTCTCTACTAAAAAATACACAACTCAGCCAGGTGTGGTGGCACATGCTTGTAATCCTAGCTACTTGGGATGCTGAGGCAGGAGAAACGCTTGAACCCTGGAAGAGCCAGACTCCATCATAAAATAGAGAAGAGAAGAGAGGAGAGAAGAGAGAAGAGGGAAGAGAGAGGAGAGGAGAGGAACTAGACGAGAGGTAAGAACAAGAAGAAGAAGAAAGAGAAGAAGGAGAAGAGAAGGAGGGGAAGGAG